GCTTTAACCCCAAACCCAAGGGGTCATTGGTGTCATGACCTACTCTTTTGTAGGGCCTGGCTTTGCGAGAAGGGCTTGTTCTGGCAGCACCGGCGGCCTGGCGACCGTTCCTTGTGGCGGGTGCAGGGGGCTAAACACTTCGACCCCATACCTCGTGCTTGTTCCTATGCCCCCACGCCGGGGCACTTGAATGACTGAAGTCTTTCTCAGTTGCATTAAGGTTCACCACGGCGATGTCTATGTGCCTGGGCTTTGTGCTATGGGTTTTGTCTGGTGTGGATTGAATTCTCTCAAACTAGGTGGGAAGATAAGTCATGTTGTTCGAGGTTGGTTGCGTGATCCAACACCATAAACTCCAAAGCCTAACCCCCATGCTTGAAAGTACATGCAGGACCCTTATGGATTCTGAAAGCCTGGAAAGCTTCAGTAACTCCCTGAGAGCCTCCCTCTCTCTCTCTCTCTATCTATACACATATATATATATATACACATCAATATATATATATATATATATATAATATATATATATATGTAGTATATATTTATGCATGTGTGTATGTGTATATGTGTCATCCCGAGGTGATGTCCGAAAAGGCGACCGGATTTGACTGGCGCAGCCGCTCGAAAGTTCGGGTCGTCCATGCAGCGGGAGCTGAGAAGTACATCGGGTCTTAGCCCTTGTGATTTAGGGTTCAGGATTTAGGGTGTAGGGTTTAGGATTTAGGGTTTAGGGTTTAGGGTTTAGGGTGATTTATGGTGTTTTAGGGGATTTAGGGAGTTGGCCGGCCTTCCATCTAACCCGGAACTTGAAAAGGAGTACATTAGAGGGTACCTTAACCCACCAGAACCTAATTTTTGCAGGTTCCCTATAAATCCCATAGTAGGGTTTGTAATAAGAACCTACAAAAGTGCGTTCTTGGTAGGTTAAGGTATGGTGTTTTAGGGGATTTCGGGACTTCATAGGGTTTAGGGTTTAGGGGCTCTTGATTTATGGTATTCTAGGGGATTTAGGCACTTCATAGGGATTATAGGGTTTAGGGGTGAGGGGAAAAGGGTTTTGTAGGGATTAGGGTTTAGGGTTTGGGCTTTATTGTCTGATAGCGTTGAGCTTCATGCGATGTTCGTTGTTTGAAGCATCTTGGTTTTGGCTTTACGTTCTGACCACATGGTGTTACAGCTGCATGAGGCCGTCAGAACGGACCCCAGTGTCAAAGCTTGTCTTACACGCAATCCGGGCTTGTACAGTGTATAGTACCCCGTCAGCCTGCACAAGGGGCCCCACAACCACTGAAACTAAAGCACGATCCTACCTTCGGAGTAGATGTCGAATCCCATTTGGGACCTCCTCTCTTCTGTCGATTATCTATCCTCTCCGGTTGGGGTTCGACCCCTCGCACAAGCTGCCTGGTGCAAGTGTGGAACACGCTTGCGGGCTGCAGTGCGGTGCTGGCCAAGCTGAGGTAATGCAGTAGCCACGACGTGCTGTATCCCCTCACATGTCACATTCCTAGGCCTTGAGCTCCAAGCCCTGCTCCTTGTTCACCATGAACTTTCGCAGTCAATACAGTTGGATGTCGGCCCCTGCATTATGACAGCTTCAGCTTCTACGTGACGTGCAGCGGCGTGTAGCTGAAGCCGGCGAGTGCTTTAGAGTGTGGAAAGGCTCGTTCCCTTGGTTCAGGGGCTGGGGAATAATGTTTGGTTAGTTCTAGGGTGCCTCAGGCTCAGGGTTTTAGGGTTAGGTGTTCAAGAGGGTATGTTGCAGGTTTGGTGAGTTGTTATCACTTAAATGTGTTTCGAGTTGAGCGTGTTTCCGATTTAGAAGAAACTTTCTGCGTGATGATCATCGGGCCAACTTGCCCGATCCCCGAAGCTCTGAACTAGTCGCTGAATCCCAGTAAAATGTCTTGCTCGGTAGTATGTGTTGAATGCTACTTCTGCTTTGCAGCTGCTGCCGCTGATGATTCTGCTGCTGCTGCTACTACTGCTGCTGCTACTACGACTACTACCACGACGACTACTAGGTCTATCACTACTCATGCTGCTGCTGCCGCTGATATGGGTCTTAATGACAGGCATGACTACAGTTTTTTGTTCGTTAGAGTTTGTTTTTTTGTGTTTCATTTGTTCAATGCTCTCTACTTATTGTGCGGCTCTCATCATCTGCAACAGTCACTCCCACATGAAGGTGTCGTCTTTCGCTTCGAGGGGTTTGGCTTGTCTGATATAGGGTAGAATAGGGTTTGGGCGTTTATACTAGAATTACAATAAGGACCCCCCCCCCAAAAAAAAAAAGAAAATACTATTGGTAATTATTTAGGCTTCTACATTAGCGTCTCCAGCAGCTCACACCATCAGCTGACCCGAAGGCTCCACCCAGGCAGGCCAAACGTGTAGGGTGCGGTTTACAGCAACGTACACGTGCACCAGTTGTGGCATTTTGCGAAGCGTGGTGGTAGGAGGAAATTGTTCCGAGCAGTGTCGTTCGTTGCAGGCCAATACAACGGGTAGTGATGCTAGCAGTTCCTTTATGACAAGCAGTATTGACAAACCAGTACGGGGGCTTGAACATGTTGCCAAGATGTTCCCTAGTGTTCGCTAATATGACAAAACGAGAATGTAACTCCCTCCAAACCTTGCTTTACTCGCGGTAATTTTACCAACGGTGCTATACTATTCAAAGCAGCGAAACCGACTGAGGAGCTCTTGTCACCGGATGACTCGCCGTTCCTGGAGCACCAGTTTCTCTCAGGCCGGTCGGGTCTTGCTTTGGTTCAGGGTGTAGGGCTTAAGGTCCTTTCTGTTGAGGAAAAGGGTTTAGGGTTTTCGGGTTCGGGGTAATGCAGGCTGGATGCAACAAAGGGTTCGGGGTTCAGGGTGTAGAGCTTGGCCGGGCGAGCTCCAATCAAGCCTGTGTAAAAAGGGTGTAGAGCTCAAGGTTTAAGAAAAAGGGTTTAGGGCGTAGGGGTTCACAGAAACCCTAGACTTCTAATTATTAAGGCCCCTTATTATTATGGGGGTATATCATACTATCAATATTCTTCGGAACCCGCACAATAATATAGGTAATTATGAAGGCTCTAGCTATTTCATAAGGCCCTGAACCCTAAACCCTAAACCCCTAAACCCTAAACCCTAAACGCTTAACCAAGCCCGAAAGATCAGGGCTCAAGCCTTCTGACCCGACCTTCAAGTTATCTTTTGGGTAGTTCTCTAAGCTAGGGTCCCGCTTAGGGTCCTTCTTATAATGGTGCCGTACTATAGTGGGGACCTAAAAAGGGACCCTATCTTGGAGAACTGCCCTTTTGCAGGTTGTAAAAGCCAGTTGGGTGTTTTTTTGGGAGGTCCCAGAAGCGCATATTCAATAGCCATGAAAATTTTCGACAGTGAAGGCATGGTAATTAGAAAGAGTATGAGATGTTTGTTGCTGGTCTCAGGTCTGGAGGAGAGTGGCTGCTGGAAGCTCAGGGGAAAAAGGCTTACATAGAACAGAGCTGGAGCCCAGCTTATATCGGGACCTGAAGAATTCTGCAACGGCATTTGTGAGTACGGTTTCTGTCCTGATTGTACTATGGAAACCCACCAGAACCACACCTTACTCATATGCCCATACTGGGTAAGGGTCCTTGTGGATTTATGAAGGTTGGGCGTTGTGTTGAGCCTACGGCTTGGGGATGTTTCTTCAGATGAGTGACCAGCTGGGCATCATTCCAGGCAGATACCTCGTTGTGCGACGTCATCCCTTTCCGGCCGAAAGGGGTGCAGAACATGCCCTGTGCGGGATAGGCCCTAAACACAAAACCCTAAACCCCAAATTCCAAACCCAAAGCCCTAAAATCCGAAACCGTAAATCCTGCAGTAGAAGCCCAAAGTTGGAAACCCAATAGCCCCAATCCTTAAGAGCCCAGCACTACTTGTCCTTAACCGTGTTTCCAACTTTTCGGGGGTTTACTATAAACCCAAAACCCTAAATCCCAAATTCTAAAACCCCAAACCCCCAACCCAAAACCACAAAGCAAATCCCTAAAACCCCAAATTCAAAAGCCCTAAACCTTCAACCCCAAACCAACAACCAAAAAAAACAATTCAAGACGAAGAGAGGAGCCGAATCGGTTTCGGTGATCTTTGGCGGCGGCTCTGGGGTTCAGCAGATAGGTTTGTAGAAGACAAGAGTAGTTGCAAGATTCAGGGTTTAGGGTTTAGGGTTTAGGGTTTGTAGAAGACAAGAGTAGTTGCAAGATTCAGGGTTTAGGGTTTAGAGTTTAGGGTTTAGGGTTTGTAGAAGACAAGAGTAGTTGCAAGATTCAGGGTTTAGGAGTTTAGGGCTTAGTGCATTGCAGTCCCTGCCCAAAAGGGGGGGTTTGGGGCTTAGGTTACAAATGTAACTGTAAAGATAGGGCATGGGCCGATGAAAGTTCTGGGGTATAGTGGTTTGAGGGTTTGGTGTCAGTGCTTCCTTTTCTTTAAAGGGCTGACGGCCCGCGGGAAGAAGAGGGACCTTCTGGGCGGCAGAGTTGCCGCGGTCCTGACATCTCCGAAGCCCCTTAACCACAGATCCTAAACCCTAAACCCCTAAACCCTAAACCCTACACCCTAAACCCTAAACCCTACACCCTAAACCCTAAACCCTAAACCCCTAAACCCTAAACCCTTGAGCATCTGGGAGCGCGGGGCTGTAGCGAGAAGTTCACATCTTCCTGAAGCCTCGCCTGCCTTGAGCCTGAGTCGAAGACTGGGCCGCAAGCGAGTGATATAGGGGGCTAAGTAATCACCTATATATATATATGTATATAT